TTAGGAAGTTAAATGTTTTTAATGTAGAAAAGGATGTCCTTGTTTTATTGTTTTATTAAGTCATTTATTGAATCTGTTCTCACTTGTCTGTGATTGCTTGGTACGGTAACCTGAACAATAGGGATAAAAAACACCTGAACCATGTTATTAAGGTTGCTGGGAAGTGTCCCGCAGGCATTCCTTATGGCTATCTTTGACAAGCAGGTTCTCCACAAGGCCATGTCCATACTGGAGTACAAACCATCCCCCTTCACCTTGAGTTTGAAACTCTTTCCTCAGGCCGTAGATTTAGAGTAGCAAGGTTGAAGGCAATAGTAGTAAAAACTAATTTGTTCCTTGTGCAATAACCCTGCTGCAATTTGTACATGTAATTTTAGCATCCTATTTTAGCTTGCACATGGATTTTGCATGTTTGACTGTATATTGTATGTACAGGAATCATTTTTGTATTTTGGTAGTTTTTGTTTTTGTTTTTTATATTTGTGAACTGAAGAACATGGGACAAGGAAGATGAACATGGTAGAAGAGCGTCTCTGTGTTTTAAACATGCATATTTTCTTTCATGAATAGTCATGATAATATGAAGTTAAAGAGATTTACTCACATTGCTGGCTGGGGTCACAGTCCGCTGTGGTCAACGTAATGTAATTGGTGGGGAACAGGCCAGTGGTCCCGTTGATCTCTCCTTTCCACCAATCTTGGTCGGTCTTGTCTAAAACGTTGATCAGCTGACCTGACCTGAAGCTCATTTCGTCGCCATTGGCGGCTGTGTAGTCGTATTTGGCTATCACCTGACAGACTGAGAGAGAAGAGCACAGTGTGTGTTAGGTGCTTTTATTATTTTACCACACCAATTGTCACACAATTTTATTTTATTTTAGCTCTTAACCTGACTTGGGAGAAATGTGGTGTGGGTGTTTGTGTTCAAGCATTCAACCTTTATTTATACTCAAGAGATCATTGAGGAGGGGTGACATTGAGTCAATTTACAAAGAGTGTGTGTGTGTGTGTGTGTGTGTGTGTGTGTGTGTTTTACCTGGTTGGGGTGCTGGTGTGGACTTGCCACTGTTGGATCCCAATACTTTGACATGAGAGGCAGGGAACCAGCCCTTCTGACGCTTTTTACCACGGGCCTAGAGCCAGAAAAGACAAACAAACATGGATAATGAAGTTTCAATCAGACCGATCAGGGATGCTGGCAAACAATTAGCTCCAAATCCTTTAACATGCAGTTCTTCAGCAGCGCAATGGTTTCCAGACAGGGCTTCATTTTAGGGGGTCAAACGCCAGGTTAGGAACCACTATTCTACTGAATAATGCAAGAAACTGCTGAGAATGTTGGCTGCTGCAGTGATATGACACCACAGGAGCTGATGGGTAACAGAGTTGAGTTGAGTTGATCACAAAACCTCTGTAGTTAACTATGGTGCTAAAGAGCTACTGTGATACGAACACTGTGATCAGCAGTTGAACACTGACCTGCAGTTCTCCAAGCCACCAGCCAGAAGCATTCTTGCTGAGGATGAGGATGAGCTGTCCGTTTTCCAGATTCAGTTGTTCTGGGCCAGTAGAGGTGTGGGCCCTGAGCACCTGGGCAATCACTGTGCACACAAAAGAGATAATGCAACTTCAAACTGCTGCAGAATACTATGCTTATGTGAGAGTCAGAGACAGGGAGATAAGATGATGAACTTACCGGGCTTCTTCTTTCCAGATGTGCTTGATGTCTGAAAAAATACAATTAGATTTTTATTACAAACCTTTAGAAACAGGATAAAGACTTTTTCGCCCTGTATGTCAGCATGTGTTGAGTGTTCTTACATCGCTCTCTTTAGGTTTGACGTAGTTGCTGGGGAACAGGCCTGTGCAGTCGCCTATAGAGCCGTTCCACCACTCTCCCTCCCTCTTGCTCACCAAGATCACATCTCCCTCTCTGAACGTCAGATCACCAGGCTCTGGAGACTCATAGGTATACAACGCCACGTATTCTGGAAAGGAAAATAATTAACAGTATGAACATAAATGAACAGCATTGTAGCTGAGGCTCCAGTCTACGTACATAATCCACAACACACAGTAAACAAATGAACAGGCAATATATGACTTTGAGGACAAAACAGATTTCACTGTAAACTTGAGACACAATTACAATAAAATTATTATTATGTCCACGATAAAACTAATGCCATGTCTGTCCACCTAAAAACCACCTGAAAATCATTATAACACTTTAAAATATGAGTGAGACAACCATATAAATGTATGGTTCATGTAATGTATGAAGATCAAATATTAACTCAACTACATTAGGCTGATATATTTTAGAGGAAATATTACTGCACCTTCAAGCTGCAGGCTGTCACTAGACTCTGATGCATCAGGAGGGGAGCTCTTCATGCTGCAAAAACAGAAAGACTACATTACCATACTTATCTAGATCACAGAGGCAAGCGACAGATAAGCAAAGTACTGACAAAAAGTTTTCCCAAGCCATGTCCTCCCGTTCCTCCTGGGGGACGCAAAGCATTCTTGGTTGAAATACAAGGAGTCATATTATTCAAAACGGCCCAAACACTTGTACACCACAAAAGGAGTTCTACTCAACCTGAAATAAATGTGCCTCTTGATCAGAGCTGAAGATTGGAATGTGCACTGGATTGACTGGTAAATCAAGAGCGTTACCTTCAGCTTCCTCTATACCACAACAGTCTGGTACAACGCCAGCTGGAATCATACTGTATATATAACTCTTTGCTGCATTGTGATCTGTAAGTGTGTGTGACACTGTTAACACAGCATCACAGAGGACAGAGGGAGACATTTCTGCAGCCTGAATACCTTACATACTGAAATAGTAACCACACCTGCAGACTCAAGCACACCCACTGACACACAGACATCATCATGTGACTGATGCATTTTTTCACTGATTTAAGGTGAGACAAAAAGCATCCCGAAGGCCAGAAATATGTTGGTATGGAACGTGGACAGGTATGTGCTTCAGGCTATGAAGTTTATGTTCACACAATAACGAAGGCAGACGTGCGAAATCTGTAAGACAAACTACAATAACTAACTTTCAGTTGTTTTAACAACAACAACATTAATCTCATACAGCAGCTTTGCTTCACATCTCTCCTTCTGCAGCCCTGAGATAACATGCCTCATATTTTACTTCATTAAGTGTATTAACTTAATGATTCAGACATTACCTTGTGACCTCTTCAGCCTATTCAAGGCACTAAGAAAAAAACAAAAAAGCACATGCCAACTGAGGTTTGAAGTATAGCTGGAGATGGAAGAGAAATACACATCTGTGTGCGTTTTAGTTAGAAGTCAGTATGGGTACTTTGCAAAGTAAACTAAAAATAATTTGCCTTCATAGCTTGTGTGACTCTGAAAGGGCTTCAAGAGGAATTAAAAATGTTGATATTTTTCACAAAGAGAGAAAGCCACTGCCCTCCCACTGATTTAATTATGGGGAACAAATGTTTGTGCATCAAAACTTACTCTGAACTCTCTTCTTCTCCCAGCAGTGTCACATAAGTCTTGGGGAACCAGCCCTGTTCACCATTCAGCTCTCCCAGCCACCAGTTCTCCTGCTGCTCCAACACCTGAATGACATCGTCCTTATTGAAGTTCAGATGGTTGTCGGTCTTTGCTGTCCATGAACACAGGGCCTGGGCTAACAAGTTACCCACCACCTGCTGTCAAATGCACAGAGAGAAAGACAGTACAGAGTGTTTGAGCATTTGTGTTTGTCCAGACAATGATCATACAGTGGTAATCAAAGGGTAGTAGCTGCTACAGCAGTAAAAGGACTTGTTATAAAGGTATTACACTCTCAAAACCTCTCACCTGTCCTTGTGTCTCAGAGTGTGCAGGGTTTGGAGTGTGCGTTGGTGTGAAGGCAGACTTTGTCCCTGCTGCCTTTGCAGCCTCAAGGGCACTGGAAAGCTGTGACTGGAGCGGCACTTTAGAAGGAGGAGCAGGAGCAGCAGCAACAGCAGAAGCAGCAGCAGCAGCAGCAATATTATTTGCTGTGTCTGATGGGGCCACTCTCTCGACATAGCTCTCTGGGAACCAGCCCATCTTCCCAAGTTTGCTGCCATACAGCCATCCCTCTTCCCGCTCTGTCGTCTCGTCAACCTGACAGGAGCAGATGGGACAGTTTGAGAAGGACAAAGAGGAACAAATGTTAAAGATTAAGGAAGAGAAGAACAAAGAGACATTTGAACAATGTCTCTTTTGTCAAGACACGCTTTTCAGCTTTACCTCGATGATATCGTCGGCATTGAAGCTGAGCTCTTCGTTGTTTCGTGCAGTGAACGGGTAGAGTGCTTTGAAGGATGTGAGAGCTGCTGACTTCCTGTGGTGTGTTGCTCTGGGTTGCCCACCTAAACAGCATATCAGAGGGGTTATACTGAGCCTCAGAAGTGGTTTTAATACAGACAAGTATGGACATCTGTGTGTGTGTGTGTGTGTGTGTGTGTGTGTGAGACTTACCCTTCCTCTCTTCCAGTCCTCTCAGCAGAGCTGTCAGTTTCTCTTGAATATCCACCTTCCCTATTCCACTCGGCTGCTGCTGCTGACGAGATGCCTCCTCCTTCCGCTTTCTCTCCTCCTCTGCTTTCCTCCTCTCCTGTTCCTCTTCTTTTCTCTTCCTCTCCTCTTCTGCCCTCTTCCTTTCCATCTCCCGCTTCCTCCTCTCCTCCTCCTGCTGCTGCTGAAGCTTCCTTCTGTCTTCGTCCCTCTGTCTCCTCTCATCCTCCTCCCTCTTCCTTCTCTCCTCCTCCTCTCGCTTTTTCCTCTCTTCTCCATCTCTGATGGCAGCCTCGGCGGCCCTCTGTCTCCTCCTTTCCTCCTCCTCCCACTCTCTTCTGAGCTCCTCCTCTCGCCGCTCCTCCTCCAGCCTCTTCCTCTCTTCCTCCCTCCTCCGTCGCTCCTCCTCTTCTTTCCGTCTCCTCTCCTCTTTCCTCCTCTCTTCCTCTAGTTTCCTCCTCTCTTCCTCTAGCAGCCTCCTCTCCTCCTCCAGCTTTCTCCTCTCCTCCTCCTGCCTCCGTCTCTCCGCTTGCTTCTCCCGCTCCTCCTCTTCTCTTTTCTTCCTCTCCTCCGCCTCTCTTCTCTTCCGCTCTGCCTCGTCCTTTGCTCTGAGCTCTCGTTCGGCCTGTTCCTTGGCGGCCTGGATGAGAGCTTGTCTCTCTTTCTCCTCCTCCTTCCTCTTTTTGGCCTCTCTCTCCTCTTGAAGCCTCCTTTGGCGCTCCTCTTCATCCCTCCTCAGCTTCTCTTGCCACTGACGCTCTTTTTCCATCTTAATACGCCTTGTGAGCAAACATTGAGGTTATTTTAAAAGTTTGTATTTCAGGTACGTTTTTATCATTTCAGTTTGAATGGAAATTTTAAAGCAGGTTGAGAAATAATATTTTTTGACACTTAAAATCTAAAAATAAGTGTGTGTGAAAGTAAAATACCTCTGAGCTTCCTCCTCCTCCCTTCGCCTCCTCTCCTCCTCCTGTTGTCTCCTCTCTTCTTCCCTTCTACTCTTCTCCTCTTCCTGCTCCTTCTTTCGAATCAACTCACGGCGTTTGTCCTCTTTGATGCTCCGTAGTTTCTCTAGCGCTGCCTGCTGGTTTCTCTGGCTCTCTCTCAGTTCCTGGCGCACACAAACAAACACACCTTTACTAGCAGAATGAAGGATGTGTGTGAAAGAATAAGCTGACTAGATAGACACCATAAAGCTCTGAACACACACACAGCAGGCATAAACACATTGCAGGCATAAACACACAGCATGCACACAGGAGCCTAAACATTGAGCAATTTGTATGAAATGTCAAAGCGAATAATAAAAGAGAGGCTAAAACAGTGCAGACAGAATATGTCAGAAGGGTGGAGAAATATGAGCAGAGCAATGACCAAGAGAAAGGAGGATAAAAAGACGAGAACAACAAAGACACCTAAAGCGAAAACCTTTAGTAGATAGAAGAGGTTACGGAGGCAGGCCAGCAGACAGAAGACAGCCTGAAGCATAGAGTCCTCAGCACCCACAAACTGTAAAGTTGGGGTCAAGGGATTATACATGGGTGAAAGGGAAGAGAGGAAGGAAGAACAAAGGAGAGAAAAGAAGAAAGGAATCCGGCATGGGAGAAAAAGATAATTTCCAAAAGAGAAGAGAGAAATAAAAGTTAAAAGATAACAAAAGGGATGAAATCAGTATCAGAAGGTAAGAAAGAAAGTTATGATAGAAAGGAAGGAGTAGAGGAGGAGGAGGAGAGAAAAGAGGCATCAAGGGCCAAGCTGCAGTAGTAAGTAAAACTTAAAAACAGGCTTTGCACATTCCAAACTTCTGAAATACCACTCTGTTACGTCTATAGTATAGTATAAGTACTATACAATACAAATAAGACATAAAGATGTGATGAGTTTAGTTTGTAAGGAAAACAACAGGAAGAAGAATCAAAACTACAACCAGCTCTGGATTAAAGCCTCACATTGCCAGCACCACCACTGTTCATTTAATGTAATAGAGAAGAAAACACACCTCTGTTCACATACTGTACTGACATGGTAATTACACAGTCACACGTATGATGACGAGTCACGATGTTTCAGCAAACAGGCAAAAAGTTGAACGAGCACCTGCTAATTAGAAGTGTGAGGCAGCGGAAACCAGCTGAGAGGTGGATTTGTGAATCTCCAAACTGGAACAATCAGGCTAAACAAAGTAAATGACTAATGGTCCACCTTCCCTTAATACCACTGACACTGCACTTCTGGGAGCCACTCAAGTCAGTACTGATTGATGGTGGTTTTACTGGGCAGCTCCCAACGTGAATGTGAGAATGTAAAGGCAAGGAGCTATCTAATCATTATAGATCATTTTAATGCAGGACAGAATGACATAAGACCATCCTCCCATATGAATATGATGTTAAGTGTTGACTGGTCAGATTATACATCTTTCTTATGGTGGATCAAGCAAAATGAACAAATGAATACAAGTAAAATTATGTTTCTGAATAAGTATTTTGCATACCAATACAGCTCTGCAAAACTGGAAAGATGTTTTTTTTCCTCTAAAACTGAAATGACAACCAAGTGATCTATTCATCAATTCTTTAACCCTTTAGCCTTTAAACTTGAACTTGATTATAATGTGATTTAAGGTGTTTAAAGAACTGGTAAACCTGTACATGTTCCATGTTATTCCTGGATTAAAACAGACTCTTTATCAATGTTCTATGTGAAATGCTTTTTAAACTGAATCCATGCTAAGCTTTTCTATTAATGTTATACTTTATTATTAATTCTTACCTGTATATCTTTGTTATACTGGTCCATGTCAGCCAGTTTGCCAGCAGTCTCTTTCTCCAGAGCTTCCAGCTGATCTCGCAGTTTCATACAAGTCCCTTTTTTCTCTGTGACGCCCACCTTCATGGTGGACATGCTCGACACTACAAACAGATGAAGGAGGCAAGTGAAAATCAGGAAATTACATTGTCATTCATTTGTTTCCAATATTTCATTTTTTAATGCTTTTTACTTATTTATTATTTCCATTATTGCTGTGGTTTGTTTCATTATATAAATATTAAATATATATATAATTTAAATATATTAAATTCCACCTCCTGTGTTAATATATACATATATTTACTGTGATATAACTACCCAATTTTCATATCAATGTGTTCTTTTATCTAACATCAAACATTCAGTTTCTTCATCCATAATATGTCGTTCCTGATTTCTGTCAATTCATCCATCAATACCAACCAGGCAGGTTATTCAGAGACATGTTTTTGAGTTTCTCAGTCAGTCTCTTCTGCTCCGGAGTCAGCTGGGACAACTTCCTCTGGAACTCCTGAGCAAGAGGAAATGCATCATAAGCAACAAGAAATGCGTCATTGGAGGGAAATATTTGGGAAAACATTCCTGCATACTCTCTCAAGAAAGCAATAATCGGACACATAAATCACAGACAACACAAAACTGTCATGGCTTCTGTCATGATAAAATAGTGGCACATAGGACACACACAGACAAACACACACCTCAAGCTGTTTCTGCAAGTTGTTAATGTCCTGCCGACGTGTCTCTATCCTTTGATTGGTCAGATCTAGCTCAGTCTTCTGAAGCTTCTTCTTCGTCTGAAAGTCACGCAGTCGGTCTGAGATCTGACGATGCTTGTTACCCTGAGGGAGACAGAAACAGCGAGGAGGATTAAAGAAACTTTACAAATTGCCCTTAATGTTTGCATGATTGATGAAAGACAGCTGGACAAACAAAGGCAAATCTACAGTATGTCTACGTGCATGTTGCAGTGAAAAAAACCTACAATGTCCCTTCGTCACTCACCACAGCCTCCAGCTCCATCTCAAGACTCCTTTTCTTAGCTTTCAATTTGATGATATCATCCTGTTCCTGCTCCCTCTTTATCTGGAGCTCTCCTCGCCTCCTCCTCTCCCACTCCTCCTTCCTCTGGCGCTCAAGCTCCCGCTGTGCAGCCTGTAACGAACCCAAACAGGACACTGAAGTGTAAAGAAACGACTCTCTGCTGGGACTATAAACCTTCATTTTGTACACACAACATCCACGCTCACCTCTTTTCTCTCTATCTCTCTCTGTCGCTCTTCTTCTCTTTGCCTCTCCAGCTCCCTCTGTCGCTCCAGCCTCCTCTCCTCGTCTTTCCTTCTCCTCTCCTCGGCCTCCCGAGCCTCCTTCTCTCTCCTCTCTCGCTCCTCTCTCTCCTTCTGAGCACGCCGCTCCTGCTCCCTCCTCTCCGCCTCCAGCAGAGCCAGTCTTCTTTTCTCCAGCTCTGCGTTTCCTCGCTCCAGGTTAGCTTTGAATTTATCCTCGAATGTATCTAAATACAGGCAAATGTCAGTGTTTTGAATTGAATTAGGTTTAAAAAGTTATTTTTTTTAAATACACCCACAATGAAGTATCAGAAGAGTATCACACCTTTTTGAGATCATCTTTTTAGAGATTATCTGTTTGTTTAAAACAAACATGTAGTTCCAGTAAAACTGACAAATAATGATAGACATGATAATAAGATTGTAATTGGTGTTCAGGAGATTAAGGGATTTTAAAATAGCATTTAGTTGCGAACCTAATGTTAAAACACCTGATATAGCCTTCAATTCTAGCTGCTACCACTTACCTTGTGACTATGTGTAAGACGATAGGACGTACAAACTTAACACCAGAGTGAGCTGCCCTGCAGTGACACACTTGGCTTCTCTTGACTTGCTATAGTTCAGGCTGCTGCTAATGGCCACAGTGTATCTCACAACAATATGTGTACGTTTATGCTATTATATTATCACTTCAGTCAGTGTTTGACAGCCATGATCTATGGCCATTGACAGTGATCTTTCGTTACTAAGTATTGTTTCGGCCTCATATAGTTTAGAAATCAGAGAACAAGACATAAGACAATGCAGCAGTTAAACAAAGCTACACTTTGTGTTTAGGGTTGGTAGTGTGAGTACTTACAGTTGGCTTTGGCTTTCTGTGGAGGTTCTAAGTCCAAGTCTTCAGTCAGAGCAGCATAGGGAGAAGGGCTGGATCCATTCACTGCAGCCCTGGAGTATAGATTTAAAATAACTGATTTGAATTCAAATAAATAAACATATAGATTAATATAGTCCATATTTAATGTACTTAAATCCAAACACTTGTATCCACTGTACAGGGTAAACTGAACCATGTGTCCACATACCTTCGTGAGGGTGGTACCAGCTCAGTTGGCAGTGTTAGCGGCAGTGGTTGTCCACTCTTTGCCATGTCCACGAGATGCATTGCCAGAATAAACTCCTCAGCTTTTAGTTTGCCGTCCTTATCCACATCAGCTAAATTCCTGCAGGAGGATTACAAAGTGGAGTTGCAAGGTTTTGACAATATTACCTTTGAATACAGTAGAACTACATACAGGAAGGATCTTTAAGACAACTAAAAAACATTTTGTATCTTTAGAGAGCCAAATATGATTACAACTTTCTGTTGTTTTCCTCACAGTTATGTGGGACAATTGAACATGTTATATTAGTGACTGAAGTCTCAACTATTTATTTACATGTCCAGTTATAGGGACCTTATTATCACTACAGCCTTATTCAATGAAAAGTTGCAGACTTACATAACTTGTACTATATAACATACGGTATGAAGACAATCATATATTGTCTGGTGTCCTGTATACTGTCATATGTATCCATATTACATATATAGACCCTACTATGTGATGCCACTAAGGTTAATTTGCATATAAAAAGGATTTTGGGAGTTAAAACAAAAGGTAAAACATATTATGACTTTTACAATACCAAACCTTATTCCTTCATATTTTACTGGTAACTGACACTAAGAGCAGCATTGATCTGCAAACAAATATTTCCTTAACAAACAATTGGTCTATTGTCATAGCAGCTAATAGTGGAATGAAGTTTCTTACTTCTTGCTGCCAAATCTGACTTTGATTCTTGAACACGACACTGTAGCAATCATAGGACAAGTACAGACACACACATACACACAGATATTCTCACCAGATGGAAGCCAGCTGTGTCTGAGTCAGCATTGTGGTCGCCATGGCACCTCTCACCTGCTGACCTGGCAACAAGAGCGACAAATGTCAGAACAACTGTATAGCACAGATGTGTGGGTGTGGTGGAGAGAGGAAGAGGTAAGGGCTCTGTGTGTGTATGTATATGTATGTGTGTGTGTGTATTGGTACAGTATGTGCTGATGTACATGTTAAATGTGCCAGGTGAACAAAGAAACCATAGCTGGTTTCTAAAGGTTTTTCTTGACCCTTTTAAATAAAGTGTAGAAAAGTCTGATGTTGAAACAGGAAATTAGAACCTTTTAAACCCTCATTCATTTACCTGGATATAAGAGATGGGGATAAAAGGACTGTGGTAGTATAAATAACATCCTTTTTCAACAGGATTAGCTTAATTTAACACACTGAACAATGTTTTTTAATGATCTGGACTGTACACAATGTCACACAGTGAGGAAATAATCTGCAAGTCTGGCTGAAGTGTGTGTGCATTGTTGTTTGACTGTATCATGGCTATTTCAAGAGAACAGGTCCAGCAAGGCTTAGAGTAACAGAACGAAAAGGCAAACGCATACTTGGCTAAGTGTGTGTGTGTCTGTGAGTGTGTTGAGAAACTGGCCCTGTGTCTGAACACACCCACAACCTCCACTTCCTCAGAGTGAGCTAAGGCTTGAAAAACATAAAAAGAAAGAGGGAGGCAACCGTTATGAAATCATCAGCGACTGTTGTTCATGGACATCCACGCCTGCATTCCACGCATAGTTTGGTTTGGTTTTTGTATGACCAACACACTGTACACATACATTTATACACATCATCGTACCAGAGAGGTATCCAATCATCTGTTTATCCAAGCTGTTGAACTGCTGTCTGTATTTGAGTCTGGATGCATGAGGCACAGCCCAGTCGCTGGGACCAGTAACCATGGGGGACATCACAGAGGGGGATGAGGAAGTGGAGCTGAAAAACAAACAGCAAAAATACAAGCTGAACGCACCAAAATTCAGGAAGAACAGTGTGGTTTGACACATAGATTGTTTAGTGTTTCCAAATTTCTGTATGTGTTTTTTGTGTTACCTGACAGATCCTAGATCCAGCAGCGATGAGGCCTTGTTCATACCAGCAGGCGCACCAGGGATTCCTAGCGGAGAAGAGTAAGGGGATGCAGAGAAAGATAGGCCTGCCAACATAAAGAACACACATCGATTACATACTGTCTTGCATTTATCTTATTAACATTATAGTTTTCAGAAAGGGAAGGGGAGCCTTGTAGTAAGTCAGTAATATACTGTCATCCAGCCACTGCTGTAACCTTGTCAAGGAAAGGGAGGCTATTTATATGAAAATGAGAAAAGAGACCTGACTCTGCAAAACCAGACCAGGATTTATTCCTTTTCCCTCCTTTCCTACTTAAACTACAGAAATATTTCACCATCTGCACTGTTACACACATACACAATATTTATAGAACAGGGCATTGCTCCTCAATAGTCCTCCAATGCTATAGGAGCAGTGACAGATACACAAAAAAGAGGAGAGGAAACAGTTAAATAAAAGTTAGAAATGAATGTTGTCTTTACCAGTGGCCAGAGCTCCAGCTGGGATTGGTTGGAGAAATCCCATGGTGCCGTTTGGCAGGGTGGCATTTCCCACGGTGGGCATCAGGGGCCTGTTGTGGGTGGAGGCTATAAGAGGGCTCAGGCCTGTTGCTGTAGTAACCAAAGGGGTGAGGCCTGTCATCTGTGTCATAGGTGAGAGCCCGGGGGTTGCCATGGAGATAGGGGTCAACATGGCAAGGTTTGTCCCAGGCATCATGGACATGTTAGGCACAGCACCCCTACCTGGGACACACAGACACAAGCAACAGGTACACACAGTTTAGATGACACATATAGACAAAATGTACATATAGAGAAAATCAGTGAGACACACTTCACTAGATTAACTTGTTAATAGTTGTTTGTATAACATTTACTTAATCTACATACTTTTTTGTGTTGTTTTTATGTTAAGTTCCTAACCAACAAACGTCCACATACAGTATAAAATCCTAAACATGTACCATAGGCTGGATTGGTCATGGATGAGGTGGGGTTATTGAGGGTGGGAGCAGGCACTGGAGGCTGCTTCATGATGATTGGCAGTGCTAAGGGAAGCGATGTTCCCTGGAGTTTGAGCTTTATGAGCTTCATAGCGATAGAAAACTCCAACCTGTCCATCCTCCCATCTTTATTCATGTCAGCCAAAGCCCTGAAAGACAAAAAAACAGAGTCATCAAAGAGTGTTTGTATATTTTTCAAGTGTAGATTTTAGTAAATACTTCCAGTGAATCCATCACTCAAACGCATGTGGGTGTTTCTCACCATATCTCAGCCAGCACTGAGGCAGTCAGCCCTGATTGGAGGAAAAACTTCCTCGCTTGCTCCCCTACAGAAAGGGAGGAACACAAGAAAAATCTGATTCTAATGGCGGAAAGATGCCTCATGGTTGCATTATTGATGTGCTGGCAGGGAAATCACTGTGAGCATGATGCACTGACAGTCTGTGTGATGATGTGTTTGTGCATGTACCTGAGACATAGCCCATTGATGGGGAGAGGGTGTCAAACTTCTGATCATGTTTGTTCCTCTCCTCTGGAGAGATGGCCCACACGCTTGGACCACCTGGAGAGAAAAAGAAGTCACAGGGACAGAAAAATGTAAAAGACAGTGTGAAGCATCAGACATAGTCATTATCATTAGATGAATATCAGCCCATTCAGCAGCAGCCTGTTCTAAGAGGCGGAAGCACTTGCTAAATAAGAAGAGAGCGTTTTAACTGTGGCTCAGCTCTATAGCTCGCTCTGTTGGTTAGAAGACAAAAATTTCCCCACCCTTTGGCAGTGACAGTTTTCGCCCAAAGATTCAGAGACTTGCACAAGATGCACAAAGGAAAGCTGATTAACTGTGCCAGTAACATGCCAGTTGTCAAAAAGGGAGTGCAGCAGTGAGAGTAGCCTATAACAAAAAGGCACATAACGTCTTTTGGTCCACAAATCTGTGCCCATTGCAAATTCACGCTTGTTATATCAGTAAATGTATCTGATACTCAGCGAACCTGCTCCTTGAACAAGCACACAAGTGTACACAAGTGTATATTACACACAGATAACACCTAAATCTAAGCAAAACAAACAAGCATACACGATCATGATTTTAATGTTTACAAAAAAATTCGCAACTATTCTATGCACTTACAAACAGGAAAGATGACCGGTACACCCACACACACCCACAAATGAGAGGAGAGAGAATCCGAGGCCAGCCTCAGTTGCAGCCACGGGGTGGGAACACACAAATATTGACAAAGTGATAATGAAGCACAGTGTCGCTAGTGATGCTGTGTCACTTTGTTCAGACATGAGGGCAGAACAACACAAGTATTTACCCAGCCAAGGCTGACTACACATCAGTGTTTCCTCCACAGTCCATCAGCAGACACACAGTGAATGGACAGTTGACTTCATTATAACAACTCATGCACAGTTCTCGTAACTACAGTTCAGCTTTGCACTATAAACAAAGCTGGTGTCAAAATATGGAAACGAATGGAACCAACTTCAAAATGACAACAGAGTGCAACATCTCTAAAAGTGGGACTGAAAGTAAACTCATCCAGAGAAGGACCCCACTCACATAAATAATAAATGACAAATGATTACAACAGTGTGTATTCAGACAGACAGATATACAGTATGTGCAGCCACACATTCACGTGCACACACATACACATACTGGGAATTTTTACTGGAACTAGCAATGTGTTGGCCTCAGCAGATCTGCAGGGCTAAAAAACACACAGCACCGTACAAACACATACACCCTCTTCTGGTCCCCTCCCCTCCTCCCACCCACCCACACCCACACCCACACACACAAGCTTGTTTAATCATCATATCCAAGTATACATGAGTGAATATCTTATTTTAAGTAACAAAACACACACGCCAAAGTATGTTGTTTTAGTACTTTTACATATATCTGAACTTCAGTTTGGTTTCCATCCATGTGTTCAGTGATTTATAAAATTACAGCGTTAACTGACTGAACTACAAATGCACATTTCAATAACCTTTCCTGTCGTACGGATGGTTCTATGTTCTCTTTGGGTCAAAGCTTTTCAAGACAAGGAAATGACATAAGGTTTTTGTGTCCTTTCAACTATGTACTGCATTTTTATAATCTTAGGACGGCTTTTTGAGATAAAATAAAACTAACAGTAGACTTGCAAAACACTGCTACTGTTATTTAAAAGTACCTAATGCTACATTTCAATAAGTCAACAACACAATCCAAAAACTACATTTTTTAAAGTTCTGGAATCCAAACAAGAACTGCCACCAATCTGTAAAGCACCAAGGTTTTGTCTGAGTTTTTTAAATATTATGCTGCCACTTGTTTGCACAGCTGCTTTTCATATCAAAATTAGCTTGAATAGCCCCCAAATGAAGATAATTGAAATAAAAAACATTACTGTGACACATTAAAAGCACTGAATAGAAATACCTAAAGGTAACTCTTTAGATATTTTTCCAAATACTTTCATTGATCTTAAGCCTATCAGAGAGCTTAAAATGTGTCCATAACAAATCATTAAATTAATTTCCATTTTCTAACCTGCTATTTTTAAACTAATGAATCTAAATGAATGTGTTTGACATCATTTGGCACCAAACTGGGATGGCAGCTGGGATAGCCATGCATTTTTTAGGGTCGGAAGCAGTCACCCCAGCACCAATTAGGAAGAGGTGGCTGCTTTTCCACTACAGCAGAGCCACAGCTTTCAGTTTCTGACAGTGGAATAAGGAGTAACAATGGAAAAATGGAATGGTAAAATCACTGCCGAAACATTTAAACCTAAAAGCTTCAATTAATCAAAGCTCAGAAGCCACTCACACGGACACAAAACACTGTGACACAGGGCCGAAAATGGTTCCACTATGGTTTCATTTGCGTGACAGAAATTATACCAGTTTGACAAAGCAAAACGTAAAAAATACTGAATGTAGCACCTCACATGAAAACACAGCTAATATAAGAGAAGAGGGCTGTTGTGTCTTCACTCATGTCCTTGTCTTTCCCTCTGCTGTTCAGAGTGGATCTGGCCTCTTAGTGTGTGGCCACTCAAGAGTAAGAAGACGAACAGAGACTGCCCCGGGCTAAAGGGCAGCTTTAGTCAGTACACTCAGAATGAACACACACACACACACGTGAAGAGGGTCTCAAATAAGCATCTTTACCAGGAATTCAAGAATAAGGAGGCTTCGGCGCCATGCGTGGCTGCTCACCCCCGACTGAATACACACACACACACACACACACACACACACACATACATTCCTACATTGCTAACAGGGGACTGTCGTGCTACCCTATCCAACAGGGGACTGATG